ATTAATCGAACCTAATAATCGACTAACTAATCGATTTTGAAAATAATCGTTAGCTGCAGCTCTATTTTTCGGTACTCGCCGATACCGGAAGTCCCATTCAGGCGGCGTGTAATGACTCGCCACACGGCTTCCTGATTAGTAGGGAAGCAGTCTTCATGCTCCCTCGTCACCAGGTGACGAGGAAGCATGGAGCCGGCTTTCTGGCCATTTAGGAAGCCGTGTGGCGAGTCATTACACGCCGCCTGAATGGGACTTCCGGTATCGGCGAGTACCGAAAAAGAAATATCGGTACTCGTACTCGATAACGAAAAAACGGTATCGGTGCATCACTATGCTTAACCCTTGACACCGTGTAAAAACGTGTTGTCTGGCTTCCTGATTGGTCGAGAAGCTGGCCAATCAGGAAGCCGGGCAATGCGTCATTACACTACACTGCGCCGGGCTACCTGATTGACCGGGAGCTGGCTCCATGCTGCCTTGTCACCAGGCCGGCTTTATGGCCAATCAGAAAGCCAGGGGGCATGAAATGGCTTGCTGCCCGACTTCCTGATTGGCCGGGAAGCCAGCTCCATGCTCCTTTGCCACAAGTGACGAGGGAGCATGGAGCCGGCTTCCTGGCCAATCTGGAAGCCGGGGGCAGCGTGTAATGACTCTCTGCCCGGCTTCCTGATACCGGAAGCTGAAGTATCGGGCCAGGCATCAGAGCATTTGGGCTAGTGCGAATACTCGCCCAAATACTCTACATCGGCACCGATACTAGTACAGTAGTTCTCCTTTTAATTGTGCCATGACTTTTTAGAAAGCGGCTATTCAAGTATTATGATTTCAGGAATTTCCAGCGAGCGGCTATGGTTCGATGGCACGGCCTTGGCACTGTTGTGTTGTCAGAAGGGTCATCTCTTAGGTTCAAATCTATTTAGGATACTAAAGCTGCCATCTAGTGTTGTATTATTGAATTGCATCTGGTCACCGGAAGAATTGTGTACGATGTTAATGACTTCGCTTTCTCTTCAGGCCAGAGATGAATTGCGCCCAGTTCGGGAGGACTTTGAAATAAAGAACCGCCAGCTATTGGAAGAAATGCCGAAGTTTTATAATAGTCGCATTGATTTCTTCAAGCCGAGCTTCCAGTCATTGATCCGAGCCGAGGTAGATGGTGCTCTGTGATTCAAACCGTTATTTTTTTAAAGAGATAGTCCTTGTATGCGTTTATTTTTTTTAATATTCATTTGGTATGTTTGAGAAGAGCGGTGTGAACCCTCCGCACCCTCTGCGACACCTCTGTGACAGTTTTCGTAAAGTAGTCACTCAGTGATATAGCAAAACCAAAAAACAGCCGTGCCTGTACTACTCTGATATCTCAAACTATAGCATTGTTTCTAACCTGAAGATACAGAGGCACATGAGACAAGAGGAGGTTCTAAAGGGAGAGTAGGCTGGTGTTTTTTTGTGTTTTTTTTGGGGGGGGGGGGGTTTTTTTGCGGAATAAAATTCAGCGTAGAGCTAGA